GAATGAAAGCATCAGCTCTACTCATAAAATTGTGGGAAAATTCTACTACATCTCATAGCCTCGAAACTCGATTTACATACAAAAAATAAGTTCCCATTATTTATTCCGTCCTTCTTAAGACCTGTACTTTCCCTTCTATGGGTACTGGTCAGGAATTGATCGTCCGCGTCTCTGGAAAGCAATTTCGATTAGTTGAAGATCTTCATTGGCAACCACATTTTGCAACTCGATCAATCTAAATTGGTGGCGGATCTTCTGCTAAAAGATACCAGGCTTTCAGGCATCATATAACGCATATAACACATTATGCTAGTCAAGCCTATTTGTAAATATAATCAAATCGGATTTGTAGCCTGGGCTACAGGCTTTAGTAGAACACCCAAATACAAGCGTGTGTCGTAAAATCTCGTCGGAATCTCGTCTTTATTTCGTCGTTTCCATTCATCTCTTTTATGCCGGTTTATCCATCTTGCGTCTTCTGTAGGTATATCTTCCCCTATGCGGTTAGCCTGCGTCAATTTAGTCTTCTGCTATGGTAGATGATGGCGACTACTCGGGACGAATTAAAGTGAGCACCAAAACTTTAATCGCTCAAGGTCATATTAAGGGTTAATATTGAAATTTCCCTTCGAATTTCTGACCAAAAGGCTTTCTCAGTCAGGCTCGATCTCGTCACGGTTTTATCAGCACCTACGACCATCTCGGTATCTGGTTCACATGCGCAAAGTGACGAAACTTTCCCATTCTGCCAAGAAGTCATGGATGAAAGTATGCGACAGTAAAGAGGATCAAACCTCTGCCAATTGGCATCTTAATAGTGGGATTGTCGACAAAGCCATCAATCACACTACTCAAAACTACTGATATACATTATGTTGAAATTGATGATTACATGCATCCACCACTGCGGTTTTCCTCACTGACACGACGGCCGTTGCGACCTCGCCCCGGTTTTCCCAACTTCCCCAGCCAGACTCGCACATGCTTTCAGTACATTTGATACATTCGCCCTGGCGTCTACGGTTCGAATCTCCGTGTGGGTGGTGCCCAGTCCGAGGCGGGACCAAAACCAAAGTAGGTTGTCGAGTCTGGATGCCTTTCAGCACCCGTTCTGGTGGGCCATGCGCTAATTTGATTTGGATTTGGCCACGACTTAATTAATTCTACACTGTCGATAAATTTTCATCTTTATCACTCGTAATTGGTCATTGGCTGGCCGGTCGGTCGGCCAGCAGGCGAGCGGGCCGGCGGCAACGAGAGAGGACGAGCAAAGTGAAAGATGGGCAGATGGGCAGATGGGCAAAAAGAACATATACTATAATTAGAAGTGGTCCTGACACGGACAATACGCATTGTAGCAATTGCGTTGTTGGCCGAAAGCCCGAGCTTAGGCCAACAAACAATCAAGTCGGCAAATGCAAGCTTGTTGGGATTACTTCCATTTCGAGTAGAAGTGTTGGGTGAAGAGATTCGAAGGTCAGTTCCACCAGAAG